AGCGCACAGAGCCCTGGAAGCTGGTGAGCCGCTACTTCCCGACCAAGGTGGGCGGCCGACCCGCGTGGCTGGAGCTGCGCCACCTGCCGCCGTCTGAGGCGCTGCGGTGCGGTCACTGCAGCGCGCCGCTCGTCTTCCTCTGCCAGCTGTATGCGCCGATCGAGGAGCGAGCCGGCTGCTTCCACCGTACCGTGTTCGTGTTCATCTGCCGGCGGCCCGAGTGCTCGCAGCGGCCGTCGGGCGGCGTGGCGGCGCTGCGCTGTCAGCTGCCGCTGGAGAACCCCTACTACCCTGACACGCCGCAGGAGGAGCGGCCGCTGCTGGGGCCCGACGAGCACTCGGCCGAGCACCACGTGACGCTGTGCGCCGTCTGCGGCTGTCTGGGCACCAAGAACTGCTCCATCTGCAAGAAGGTGTACTACTGCAGCCGAGAGCACCAGGCCATCGACTGGAAACATGGACATAAGAAAAAATGCAAAGGTTTGTGGTTTAGCTTTTGGGTTAGCGTCGGAAAAACGTCACCTCACATCTAGATCGACGCATGACTAATTTTCACGTCATTTTTGCGCTCATTTCTTTGCTATGGTTTAACGATGATTATATTTGCTGATATTACTTTTCAGTCACTATTGACAACCGCGACTCCGTGCTACCTTTTGACGTCCCTCGCTGTTTTGTTTAGAGGCTGGCGGCGCCGGCTCCGGGAGCCAGAAGTTCCTGCTGCCAGAATCCGAGGTGGTCATTGAGGACGAGCCGGCTGACTCCAAGAAGCGTGAGAAGACAGAGGAAGAACGTATGGCCGACTACGCGTCACTCATCAAGGACAAGATCGAGGCTCTTCCCGGTAAGCAGTAAGCTTGCTCTTGGCCGGAACCCTTTTCGATCCGCTTTATTCGCGAAGCGAAGTTGGAAGATATTCCTTACGTCATGAATCAACGAAGATATTCCTTACGTCAATGAATCAATGAACGCATGTTTTTTGATAATTTTGAATATTGATTGAGGTTCAAGTTACTCAATTCAATTAGCCTTTTCTGTAATTGAGTAGAAATACGCTTATCTTTATTTAAATAGCTACTCGTTATTCTCCTTTGACCACTTTTCCCCTCTGTGCCTTCTGGCGTATTTGGAAAGTCATGCTGCATGACTGACATGGACATAAAGCATCACCCCTCATCGCCCCTCCTCCGTCGTCCAGATGCCGACGTGGACGAGCTGGACAAGATGGCCTCCTCGAGCGGCGACGACCCGGTGTTCGCGCGCTTTCGGAAGCGCGTGGCGCGCGAGCCGGAGCAGGTGATCCGGTACTGGCGCGGCGGGGCGCCACTTTGGGTCAGCAAAGACCACCAGCCCGCCGAGACGGACATACCCAACTGTTCCTGTGGCGCCAAACGGCACTTCGAGTTCCAGGTGAGGGTGCCGGACTGTTTGCAGACTGTAGAGGTCTGAATGCGCAACACTTTTAGTCAGAGAAAACGGGGGGGGGGGGGTGGCAAAATTCATTCAATCATAGAAAAGCTTACGGATATGGTTATGTGAAAAGTTTGCAAGACACGCTATTGTGCGTCGAATTGCGTTTTGACTAATATGGTCGGCTAATTATTAACTTTTTCAATGTTCACGGTAAATAAAAGTGCCCGATACTGCTTGCGATGTCAAGTGATCCCTCACCAGCGAAATCGTCCCGCCTCCCACCCGCCCACGGCCTCCTATTCCGCCGCGTCTGACGTCCGTCCGTCCGTCCGTTAGATTCTGCCGCAGCTGCTCAACCACCTGGATCTGGACGAGATGGGCGACAGCGTCGACTGGGGTACCCTGGCCGTCTACACCTGCTCCGAGAGCTGCGAGGCCGCCGACCCCGAGCGGCCCTACCGCGAGGAATTTGTCTGGAAACAGCAGCTCTGACCCACAGCCGCCGTGAGGGAAAGGTATGAGAAGCGGGTTTGTTAAGATATCGGGCGAAGAAGAGCCCGAAAGAAATGTGATGAAGTGTCGTGAAATCGAAAATACATGACCTTATGGAGGCATGGCAGCAATGGCTGTATTTTGTCAGACATTACAACACGACGCGGGCGCGAACTCAGTAAAAGGTACTCGTAATTCCGCCAGTAAAACTGACGTATGGATGCCCTTGTTTGGCGCCACCACTCTGCCCTAACAACCGTCCACGAACCGTCCGGCTAAGCTCGCTGCACGAAGCCCGTTCTGTCGGCCCGCACCGGGGGGGAGATTCGCCCCGATCCCAGTCTCAAGTCTTCTCTAGGTCACCGTCGCAATCACCGAGTCCCTAACACACAGATGAGGTGCTGACCGGCGGCGCGGCGCTGCGACGCAGCTGAGGTAGTCCGGAATCCAGTGTGCGCTGTCAGACGTTCAGCAGAAACGAAGTGCGATGTGGGTGTTGGCACTACACGGCTGCATAGTTCCACCGGGTGGCTTAGGCCGACCGCCTTGAGAGTCACATCTGTGAGGACACTCTTGTCGATTCCGCGGCCGGCCGGCGACACGACGCATGTCAAGATATAACACTGTGCGTGTCAGGACGCGACTCAGCGTAGCCGCGGAGCGGGCGGGAGATCCCTGTCGTGTTGGCCCGTCGGTCGGCGGCACCCGTGTCGGTTTGTACCAGCGCTCGTCTATCCCCGGCTCCGTCAGAGTCCGGGCGCGCCCTGCTCGCCGTCAGCTCCCCCCGCCGCCCACTCGGCGCCGCTCGCCGGACGGTCGCGCGGCTCGTGCTCGGCACAGGGTCCGCAGCGTATGGAGACTGCCTGAGAGAGCACTGTGGCGCCCGGCGTGCCTTCCGGCGGTAGTCGCGAGCAGAGTGTCTGGGGAGGGACGATAGAGGTCAGTCAAAGCAGCAAGGCATCAATGGCACCGTTATTTTCGTCATTCGTATCCGGTACGATTTATTCCTTAAACTTGTTTACTCTAGCATACGGACCGATGCACAGAACAGCTGGGTATGACTTTTCGCTGCACATTGGAAGAGCGACCTGCCGGTCATATTCACCCGCTCATCATTGTCCAATTTATCCCGCCTAGCATTCCGCTGTCTTCCTTCAAGTCAGCCCTCAACCCTACCGCTCTTCTATGTCAGATTTCATTTCTGTCTGTCAGCTACCTCCAAACTGGCTCAGTCTAAGCCTGCCTCTACTCTATTCTAGTCTACTTCTACTCTTCCTTGCCACCCGTCGCCCACTCACCTGAGGACTGTCGGAGTTGGCGGCCATATACCCTAGGACGAAGCTGGCGGTGCAGTGTCCCCAGGATACGTCCACGGCGCCGAGGCCGGGGTCGTGTCGGAGCGCGATGGCCCCCGCCAGACGCTGGCTGCTCGGCGGGACGTAGTGGGAGCCTGAGACGCGAGGGAAGACGGTCAAAGCGGGAAAGGGGGCGACCGGACCCGGGGGACGGTGACATTGGGGAAACGACAGCTAACAGAAAGAAGACGGTCAGACGGCACAGGACGGGAGAGGACGGCCTGATGTAGAGCATGGCCCAGGCTTGTTGGACTCAGGACAAGGGAGGTTAGTGAATGATTCGCATCTGAGGCTCGCAGCGATCTGTCCCACGCACGCATCGGCGAAGTCAACTGATGGACATAGATACCGGACAGCTGAACGGTGTTGAAAAGTTTCTCACACAACATCGCAGACACGTTATGAATGATAATATCACAATATCGGTTATCTAGCACTTAGCAGGGCAGCTGGTATCGGGCATCCGAACGTTGTTTGGCTAGGCCGGTGATCCCTTTTGTTTGTTTGTTTTATTTTGTTGGGTTAGGCCCTGTCGGTCTGACAAGACCATTTTAAAGCCGGAAGGACGATAGGAATTAGGGAGAGACATTGTACAGACACCCTAGAGAGTCGCCGGGACTGAGCCCGTCCGAATGGACAGGCCGGCCAGCCCTCCAAGCACTCTCTGCACCCGGCTACGGGGTGCGCTCCCTCAGGAGCAGCGGTGCCGCTCCAAGGGAGCAGCCCGCATGAGATAATAGTGCCTGTCCAGCCCAGGGTGTTGCGGCGTGGAGAAGGATTTCAGCATCCTGAGGATGGAAACGACGGACGGGTGGTGATCCCCTGACAGACAGACCGTCACGACGAGCCTATACCCACCTAAGAATCCTCGTTTGAGTCCCAGCTGGAGTCCCTGGATGGCGTGCTCGGAGCGGCTGATTTCGGCCGCCACGCGCCGCGCCAGGCAGCTCATCACGAGCTGTTCGCCGGTGCCGGAGGTGGAGACGCCCACGCCGTACCGACCAGTGGTGGCGGCCGCGTCCGCCCAGCAGCCGCAGCCAAACACCGCCGCCTGGTGGAGACACAGGGAACTAACACACCGCCCATTTATTTAGGGCCTTGGCCCAGTCCGCCCAGCAGCCAAACACCGCCGCCTGGTGGAGACACGGAGAACTAACACACTGTCCAGCAGCCGCAAACACCGCCACCTGGCGGAGACACGAGAGCTAACAATGCGTGCGTTCGGCATCCGGAAAATATCCTTTGGATATTCTCGGTCGGAAAATTATTGGTGACAACCTTCGTTCGGTACGCCCCGTTTAGGGGAGAATTATCCACGGGATAATACCCCTCACTTGAGCGTTCGGCATCACGGATGTCATCCCTGGACGGTCACAGAAATTTGGCTTACTTTTGATTTTCGAGCTTCCAAACACCTTTAGTTATTTACGATATTGCATCATACACAATATGCCATCACATCTTACAGTTTATCTTTAGAAATCAAAAGCAAAAACCATTTGATCACCACTATCAAAAATACCTCCCACCTCAACACGGAAAACATCCAGTTTTCCAGAAAACGCCCCATGTCCGCAGATTCTCCCCAGCGCGGAATAATTGTCTGGGAGAATTTTTCGTTGTCGCGATACCGAACGTGAACTCCGATAATTCTCACTGATCCGGGATAATTCTACATGATTTCCGGATGCCGAACGCACGCAATACGATACGGCAGCATGAGCCAAACACTCCGCCTGGCGGATATATGGGGAACTAAGAACAAACAGACCACACGCGGCAGTCAACCTACCTACAGACCTGGCGGATACTACGGGTGAACTAGCTAACCCACTGCCACCTGCCGATACATAATTACATATGGGCTCAACACACCACGCCGTCTCCTGGCGGAAACACCGGTGAACTAATGACCCAGACTGCTGTTATGGCGAGCGCCGTTCATAGCTATGTGGGATTACCACACACCCACCGCTGCTGCCAATTCCAACTCCATTAACTAAATTATCATCGGGCTCAGGCCTTTAGCTGGTACATGTTCCAGGCGGCCCATATCCGCCTTGCGCAATTTTGATGGAGCCCAATCAATAAACAGGCGTGGTACAGAGCCTCCTCCCCATTACCGTCCTTTCAGAGTGGTTCCTAATGATGCCGTCAGGGGCGCCCCGTGCCCGGGAGTCGGGAAGGCTATCAGCGAGGACTGTAAATGGCCGAGGGCCTAGAGTTGAACATTGGTGGCAGCTTTTCCCCACGGTCTATGGCCAAAAGTGCAAGACCAGACGAAACCGACGTCAGTACCCTCGAAGATTTGATTTGACAAGTGGAAACTCACATAGCGTTGCGTGTGGGCGTCCATAAATTGTCTCAATGTGAATGAACTCAACATGTATCGACGTCAATCCTAAAACATTTCCCCATCTTGAGCCATAGGGTCCAGCAGTCGGTGCCAGGACTGCGCAGCTAAAATAGCAAACTATTGCTCAATGATCCTGTTCCGTATTGCGACATAGCCCAGGCCAGTCTTCGGGGAGATAGCCAGGGTAGGTCCGCCTAATTCCGATGCCAATCACTGAACTGAAACTGCTCCGGTGGCAAAAGGAAACAGTCACAAATGGACACGGGTTTCTGAGGAGGGCACATATCTGACAGCGGTGCCAGTGGAACACAGTATCTAAACTCACATCTAGTACTAACATCTGTCCCACTGTCACCTAACGTGAGCCACTATGGTGTATGACCTCGCGTACTTTTCCGCTGTGACCTCACTCTTCCCCATGTCAACCCACTTTTCCCACCGCGACCTGTCCTTTTCTGCGTAGGGTATGTGACATCATCGGTACCACCGTGACCTGATGTGGCCAATCAGGGACACTGCTGCTGTCACATCACAATGTGACAGCTATCTGTCACAATGTGACAGCACACACAGGTCACATTGTGGCCTTCCTTTTCTGCGTGGGGTATGTGACGTCCGTTCCATTGGGGTACGTGACCTCCCAGCTGTCCCACTCGTCCGGGGCGTCCGATATCCGTCCGTGACCTCCCCTGCCCTGTGTGTCTCTGTGTCGGGTATATGAGCAGCTCACCTGTCCGACTCGTCCGGGGTGTTTGATATTTGTCCCTGTGAGTGTGACCTCTCCCTGTCATCAGGTTATATCAGCAGCTCACCTGTCCGACTCTGCCGGGGTGTTTGAGCATGATGCCCCCACTAGAGGAGGCTGCCGCGATGTGACCCGAGCAGTCCAGGACCACGGCACCCACCGTGTCACGGAGCTCGCTGTCCGTCTCCTGTGAAACGGACGGACCGAAACGGGTTAGTAACAATAACCATTTTATTAAAACATGGTGATTAAAGACTGCCGGTTTCAGAACTCGTTGGTTAAACCGCCGCCTGGATCTGCTAAAGGGCGGACGTCCAGCACAATTTCGGCGGAAACCCATAGCAAACAAGGTGCTTCCGGCAGGTTCTCTACTTTTGTGTCGCACCGTGGGCTGCATGATGGGAGGGGCCGGGGGGAACATCGCGTGCTTAGACGGGGCGTCGGCGACAGCATTACACTACACAGCAGGCTCAACTAAACTAAAAGAAGCAGCATCATAATGCATTTACAGTTGCAGTCTTGTTTTAGACAGTATAAATCGACCAGTGGCCGTAATAATATTGAAAATAGTTTCCAGCATGACGATTATGTGAACCAGGATCCTATTCGTACTCAAACTCTCACACTTAACTTTCACAAGAGTTCAAACTTCAAACTGTGTTACAATAACGACTT